ATAATGTATGCTACGTCACAGGGGTTCAAGCACTTCAGGAGTGAGGTTGAGCAACCCCTTTTGTATACCCGCCCTTGCACCATACAAAAGTGAGCGCACTTTCGCACTATCTTCTTAGCTTCCTTTGGGTCCACTGGGAGGGTACCTTCTGATAAATAGTTGGCGATGGGAGTGATCTAGGTACTTTCAGAGGTCCCTTCTATCAAGTCTGTAATACTCATGATGATACATGGATTAGGCAAGTTATGCTGGATGACAGAACGATTATTACCTGGGCTTTTTGTGCTTGCAAGCTTGGCGAGGATATCCGCACGTGTGTTTTCTGACCGCCTGATATGCTCAAATTCGATCGTCTCAAAAGTCAACATGAGTTCTTTTACTTTCTCCAAGTATTTGCACATCAGAGGCCCTTTAGCTTGATATTTTCCGAAAATCTGGAAAGTCACCAACTGAGAGTCGCTGAATACCTTGAGGTGCTGAACTTTTGCTTGAAGGAGGCCAGCAATCATGGCTTCATACTCATCCTGATTGTTAGTGATACTAAAGTTGAAGGATAACGAGTACTCCATCGCCACATCATCCGGATTTTCGATTATCATTCCAGCACCGGATCCCTTGGTGTTGGTGGAACAATCCACATACAGCTTCCATGACGCCAACCGTGGGGTTTCAGGACCAGACCCTGCGGCTTGCAGGCGGTTGTGCTGGATTGTGTCATTTCAGCAATGAAATCTGTGAGAGCTTGAGCTTTGATGGCGGTTCTTGGCTCATAATTGTTCTGGTATTCCGAGAGCTCAATCGCCTATGACATCATTTGTCCGGCGAGGTCGGGCTTGTGCAAGACTTGACGGATAGGTTGATTAGTTCTGACCGTGATGGGGTGGCACTGGACGTATGGCCTTAGCCTTCGTGCCGCGAAGATGAGTGTGAGGGCGACTGCTGATACCGCAGCTCAGCTCCTTGCAACACTTTGCTGATGAAGTATACCGGCTTTTGGCCTTATTCTTTTGGCTCTCTGACCAACGTCGCGCTGATGGCCTCAGTGCCGACAGCAAGGTATAAGTACAGAGTTTCGCCATTATCTGGTTTGGTTAGAACCGGCGGGCAGGACAGGGCCCTTTTGAACTCATGGAAAGCTCTTTCACACTCATCAGACCACGCAAAGGACATACCTTTTTTCAGCAAACCAAACAGGGGGAGTGACTTGTGCGCTGAATTCGCCAAAAAACGTGTTAGGGCGACCAGTCTTCCAGTCAGCTGACTGTTTGTGGGCTTCGCATTTCAATGTCTGCCTTGTCAGGTAAGGTGAGAGAAGTTTCGCCATTATCTGGTTTGGTGACAGGACAGGTTCATCATTTGCTGGTACTTGGCGCCCGTGTTCTTCAGCCAAAAGGCATCATAGTATAACAGTAATTGGCATTCTGGGTGATGAACGCCGTCTTGATTTGGTCCTCTTCTAGCAATGGAATTCGGTTGTAACCAGAGTATGCATCCATGAATGAGAGTATCTTGAAACCAGACACATTATCCACTAGCTGATCAATGCTTGGAAATGGATAAGCGTCCTTGGGACATACTTTGTTTAAGTCGGTATAATCGACGCACATTCTCCACGCTCCACTGGGCTTTTTAACATACACAGGATTGGAGAGACAGGTTGCGTATTTGACTTTTTTGATGAAGTCAGCTTCGTGGAGCCTTTTCACTTCCTCGTCGATTATCTTCTGGCGATCAGGGCCAAACTTCCTCTTCTTTTGCACGACGGGCTTCGCTTTGGTGTCTATGGACAATCGGTGGCAGCACACTTCTGGGTCTATACCTGGCATGTCGGATGGTCTCCAGGCGAAGAGATCTCTGTTATTACGTAGCAGTTTGATCAGCCTACTCTTAATTTCGGGATCAATGGTCGCCCCGATTGTAGTTGTCTGGTGGTCTACGTCGGCCAAAACAACATGCTCTAATACTCCATCTGGCGTGGGCCTGGAATGTTTAGCTCGAGGGTCGTCTCTAGCGTCGAATTCTGTGACGTTCTCAAATGAGGCGTTGGTTGGTCTTTGAAGGTGACCTTAGGTGCTGGTTTCAATGATATATTGTAGCAACTCCTGGCTACCGTTTGATCGCCTTTTACCGTCGCCACCTTGTTGTCCCTCGCCACGAACTTTATTGCAAAGTGCGGGTGCGATATGCTTGTTTCAAACGCGGCGAACATCCTTCTGCCGAGAATTACGTTATACGCTGATTGGGTGTCGAGCACCAGGAACTGGATGTCAGCTGATCTTGATGTGGGTGGCGTCCCCAAAGACAAACACAGGTTTATCATTCCGAGCGGCTTGGTGGTTGTTGCGTTGAAACCTGAAAGTTCACCTGCAACGGGGGTTAAGTTATTCACTGTAAATCCTAATGCCCTGAAACATGGCAAAAATAAGATATCAGCAGAGCTGCCGTGGTCAACAAATACGTGATTGACGCCGAAATTGGCGATTATTGCTTGAATGACTAGAGAGTCATCATGTCCAGGAAGAATGTCGCCCAAATCATTGTAATCCCACACGATTTTAGGCTTGGCGGGACCTAAATCCACTTTTACTTTGCTGATGACTTTACCAGCAACCGCCAAACACTGTTTCAAATGTCTCTTCCTAGCGTTGACTGTTTCCTCACCTCCGCTCAGGCCTCCTGAAATCATGTTTATCACCCCGTGCTTGATGACTGCTGAATCTTATTCATCTCCTTCTGGTTTTCCTCTATTGATTTGGCTAACCGGCACCCTGCGATCTCGTGGGGAGTCTTCTTTGCGATCTCGTTCATGGCGAGGCTGATAACCAGGCTGGTTGTTTCTCCTTTGTTCTGGTGACTTGCTACGTTCACGTTGTCGCCTTCCAGTTCTGGCCGGGCGCGCACCTTCTCCTCCCCGCCTTTGAGCACCACCCTTGATGAGCTCGCCAATCTCGTCTTTAAGGTGTCTGCATTCCTCAGTACTATGGTCGTTGCTGCGGTGGAACTTGCAGTACGCGGTGGCTTCTCTGGTCGATGGGGCCGTTGGTTGCTCTTGGGTTCTTCTTTGTACTCAGTTTGCAGGACGCTGTGTGATGGGCGTCCTGATGTGTCACGTCCTAAAGGGCGATTGGCATACTTAGACGATTTATGACTCTTCCTGCTCTCTTCAGCTTGGTTCTTACTCTTACTGACCGTCCTCTCTTGGCTATGGGCATCATCAACTCGACTCCCTTTGTACTCTTCAATTCTCATGAACTCCTGGGCTTTTTTTCTGACTTCTTCTAAGTTAGTGATTTCATGGCGAGCGAGTTCGTAAGCGAATGCTCCCTGTCGCAAGCCTGACAGAAGTATGTGCACTTGCATCTTGGGGTCTAAGCCTTGCACTTGCAGAGCCTCTTTATCAAAGCGGTCCAGAAAGGATCTAAGCGATTCTCTAAATTGTTGGCGAATCTTTTCAAGGGAGTGAACAGACTTAGGCACCGGGCGACTGGTTGCGAAGTGGGACTGAAACTTGCTCGCCAAATCATCCCAGGATACAATACTACCGGTTGGTAGAGTGGTGTACCATGTCAGCGCTCTCCCTCCCAGAAGTGTGGGGAAAGTCCTGCACATGAGGAGATTCGTCTCGCCGTGAAGGGTTATTGCCGCTTCAAACTTTTGGATCCACTCAAAAGGATCAGTGTCATCAACATACGTGGTGATGTTAGAGGGGCCTTTGAAACCGAGGGGTATGGGGGTTAACCGCAAGCTATTAGTCAAGGGTTTGTTGCATCCTGACGTATGAGCAGGCGTTATCCTTACATTGGGGTTTACATGCATACTGGTCGGGTTGTGGGTGAGGTATTTGTGGGGCTTCAACAGAGTAAGAGAGGGCTGGGACCTGGTGTAAATCTTGGTGGGCGCCATATGGTGGCTGACCAGGGTTTGGATAAGACCTCTGGGGTTCTGGGATGGCCATGTTATGGGGTTGCATAGCGTAACCGTGGAATGGGAAACCAGCAGGGTAAGGTTGAGGGAAAGGTGCAACAACGTTGGCAACGTTATGAGTGTAAGGTCCAGGGGGTACGGGGCGATCATGCCAAGTCGATGATCATTGTACATCGCCACTGGCTGACTTCGGGCCGGTTGTGGACGTCGGGCGAGTGTGTCGAAGGCTCGTGGTGCAGCAGTGGGGAATGGCATTCCGAAGTGAACTCCCGGCGGTGGGGGTTGGTTTGGGACTAAATTTTCTCCTTACATTTCACGCATAGCTACCCGGTGATTCAATTGTGCCATTCCAACGCCAGCTGTTGGTAACTGTGGGCCAACAGATTACAGCACCGAGGGGAGAGCCTCCCCAGCGGCTCGCTCAGCTGGAGCTGAATGCATGGATGGCGGGGAGTTGGGATGAACAGTTTGTACGTGACCTTCTAGGGTTGTGGCCCTAGCTTGTTCTGCTCTTTTGGTCGTGACAACCATGTTTAGTTATCAGAGTGTGAAATGCGTCTTGCGGATCTTTGGTAGGAGAATGGGAATAGAAGTTTATAGTTTTCCCACAGACGACGCCAATGTACCGTTGGAATATTTAAGCCCACTATGTTCCCTTTGGGGATAATGTCACTGTATGGATGATACCCCTAGCTGAAGTAAAGACCAGACTAGGAGGTATTGTTCCAAGGATGAAGCAAGTTAATAACAATGGTATTGGGTGTGTGAGTCTGTGACTTAATTCAAATAGGCATAATAACGATACATAAGATACCTTCATGGTGTGCCCAAGGGGGCTATTTATAGAGAAAGTGGTGTGCACCTGGTTGGTGAGGAGGGGGTCAACCCTCCTTGAGATTCACTCCCATGATGGTAGTGTTGGGCGTGGCAGGCGCTGCTGTTGTAGCAGCGCTGCGCCTTCTTTTGCCTGGCGATGTCAGCGTAGGGAAAATGAGCAGTTTCCTTTTAGGAAGCCTGTCACGATTGTCTTTGGGAGTTCGGGTCCCAAGATGGGGCGTTTTGGTGCTTCCCTTTGGGAGCGTCGCAGCATTGGGGGACGGGAGGATCCACGTAAGCCCTTAGGGCTGACGTAGGGCTGACGTGAGTTGGAGCCTGGGGTTGGGCTTGGGACCTTGGGCCGCCAGTTATTGGGCCATCCAGAACAAGAAGTATATATCCTTGTGTATACATTAAAATGGGTTATACGTATCCATCATAGTATAAACTCAAACACAAGACCAAAATCACATGAGCTTATGATTTCCAATAGTTTCTTCCGATGCATAATTGTATAACTTTATGGAGGCCGTGGCACTGAGGGGGTCATTATATGAAGATTTGTCAATTATTCCTTTATCTTATCAAAAGCTTCTTACAAATTTGAAGATCAAGTTCAAGACAACTTCATGAGGCCTGTTTTTCAAGACAAGTTTTTTCACATTTTGATAAACTTGGAATTTTAGAAATTTCAAAATTAGGAAGAGTATTAGAAATTAATTCTGAAATCTTTATTTCATAAAATATTTGTTACAAATAAAGCACTATACTAACTATATAGGAATGGCTTCGTTTGAATAAGGCATAATATATTTATGTTTCAAGTACGTTACAACTCTTTGAGATTTTCTACGAGTTCGATATTATAATTTATAAGTAGGTGTTAGATGCCTCCAAATCCATTCATTATAGTTCATGAGTCGCAGAGTTACAAATTCGTTCACCATGGCTTCATTGTTGTGATTAAGCATTTCTTCTCTCTGTACCTCTTAACACCTTTTGGATTTGGATTTTCGATTCAGCATTTTAGTGCTGACAGGAGCGATTGTTCAATTCTCTCAAACATTAATTTAATTTTTTAATTATAATATAACAAGCGAGGGGGTGTCACATGGAATATTATCGTACGTCACGCCAACTGGAAAATACAGGATGATTGTCAAAAAGCTGAATTATGACTCAGAACATTAACCTTTAATGTTGAAACATAATCGTGTTAGAGGTTTCATTTTTTTAATTATTATTTTAGTTATCGTCCTTTATTTTCACGCGATTGAAATTTTAATGTAAAAACAAATAAAGAAATCTTTTTATAAAAAATGTGCACAAATAGTATAAAATATAATAGGGTTTTATAATTCTCATTCAACATGAGAATTAAAATTTTCTTACACATCCTTTGATTTTCGTACTGACATGGGTCTTACATATAATTTTTTCTAACATATGAGTCCCACATGCTTTTTATCTCTACAACATGAAAATTGAATTCTCATTCAATATGAGAAAATCAAACTCCAATATAATATTCAATAAATTATATGAGCAACCACCATTCTTATCCTGATACTTAAAATGGTGGTTGTATAAAATAGATATACGTGGATATCAAGAAAAATTATGATGGAAACGTAAAATGGGCATGTAGCGGTGTACCCTGTCCTGGACACATGGTTTGATTACCAGAGTTACGTAACCTATGTTGGCTCGTCCATCATTTTCACCACAAATTGAACGTGAACATCGAGATAATTAATTATTGGATTTTATAAAAATTATGTTGTAGAAAAAGTGATTGTGTAATGTTATAGAGATTCGTTTTGCGAGCCGTAATTTTCTTTTTTCCTTTTTTTCTTCTAAAAATGTGAGCTCCACAAAATATTATGTGTGTAAAATAATTTGTTGTGTCATGTTAAATGACAAATACAAACTCCTTTATTATTAATAGAACATATAAACCACATTTAAAATGGGCATGTACCTTGGCAAGTGCGCAGGACTCGATTGTCAGAGTTATCTCTTATTTTGTGATTTATGTTTTTGTCCCCTCCATCAGTAATTCTCACGAAATTATTACCTATATAAAGTATAGAAGTGATAATTTGGGTAGCTTTTAAGAAATAAAGAAAAATAAATAAATTTCCGTACGACTTACTTGATTAGATCATGGGTCAATTGCCGGTAAGTTTAAGAACTTCGAATAATCTAGTTATAAACATTTGTTACAATTTAATCGTGACTAATAAAATATAACTCTTAGACTTCTAACGGGACCCATTTGTTGCATTACTTTGTTAATATAATATAAAATACTTAAAAAAAAAAAAAAGGTTTCGATGGGTGATGTGGGGTTCCTATTGGTCTGAATCCCGATTTCTACTTTCCCTATATTGTTGCGAAAAAACAATGAAATAACCTTTATTGATGTGATCCTATTGTTGCCCGCGTCGAACTCACCATTATAAATTTATAATTATATATTTATGAGAAAAATATTTTTTTCAATTAAGGTAAAAAAATTTATTTACAGTAATATTATTACAGGTAATATATAATTTAATTTTGAAATCTAAATAAAAATAAAATTTATTTAAAATACTATAAATAATACATAGTATAGAATTCATTTAAAAAATTACACTATATACACTACCCGTGACACACATAACTTTTTTGAAAAGTTAAACCGTACATTTATATATCATTTATTCATCTGCACATGCAAACTCATACCAGATCCACTCTCAATCATATCTATATAATATTACAATAAGATAAAAAAAAACAAAAGGCGGAGCGTGTGTCATCTAAAAGGATATAAATTGTGTTCTTTTAATCACTTACATAAAATATAACTGCTCATATTTTATGTAAATTTAATTTTTTTTTTTTTTACTTTACATGTCAGCGATGTGACTGAAAAGAGAAAAAAATAACTTTTTAAAT